GGAGGGGGTCGAGGGTAGGGGTGGGGGTGGAATGAAAATAAAAATTTGAAATTGAAAATATTTTTTAAAAACTAACTTAAAAAATATTTTTTGAGGGGGGGTAGGGCTGTCTGGGAGCGGGTGAGGGTGAGGTAAAAAAATTATAAATTGAAAATATTTTTTTTTTTTAAAAAGCTTTAAATTATTTTTTTTCAACAAAAAAATTGAATTAAAAAAATAAATAAATTGTAATTTGAAGTTGGAGAAGAGTTTTGGAAAATGTTTTCCTTAATTTTTGAAGGGAAGTCATTTTTCTTAGATTTGAGGAAAATGAGTTGATTTGCAAAAACATTTTTTGGAAAATGTTTTCCTTCATACCAAATACACCCTAAAATTTTGTCAGACTCTATAAGACATGTTCAATTCGAGTGGAGATTCTACAAAGTGTGTTCAGTTGCAATTAGAATTATTGGAGGTCACTCAACCCTAATTAAACTCTTGTTCATGCCTGTAGAAAGGGTATTATATTCACTTGAAAAGACATCTCCAATTTCCTCAAAGTTATGGAATATTCACAAAGATATGTGCAGTTATGCTTCGGATGCTTCACCATAGAATAGATCAACTCAGTTCCCGTTATACTTCGGATGCTACACCATAGAATAGATCGATCCAGTTCCCGTTATCAAACAAATCTCAAATATTCCGTAAATTCATGAAATATTCATAAAGACATCAAATTCAAATCATCCTAGTTGAGAAATACATCACTAACGACCCTCGAATCATGGAGAGATCTTAACATGAGAGAAAAATTAAGGGAAGAACATAATTGTACTTATTCTTCATATTTTATTTGTGATTTTAATTTATTGTTTATCACTTTAAAATTTATTGCAAACACATGCATCAAAATTAAACATAATATTTTTGTATTATTTACACTCCTAAATTTTGCGAGAATTCTATTATCTTTCTAAAGTTAAAGTGCTTCCACTATATATTTGACGCAATTTATCCTGCCACTATTTACTAATAAGTACTATTAATATAACTGTGAACTGTTTATCGACAATATGTGGTATCTTCCTTTTAACTTTTGTATTTTGACAGCATATAATAAAGCCTAAAGGACAGACATTAAATTGAAAAAGGGAAAGTAGTTTCCAAAAAAATAAAAAGAAATAGAATAACTGAAAAATGTTTTTGGTATATATTAGCAAAATCTTTTATT